CAGAACTGGGAAATGACAAAAAAACGGGATGACAATTTTTTGTTTCACCGTACACTTCTTGCTCATATTGATACAAAGCACCACCCATGGATTGCGTTACGTCGGTTATTGCGGACAATAATGACCTCGTTAAAAAGGAGTCCTTATGGATTTTAAGATTACTAAGTAGTTTCGGTTTTTTGCGACTTTCTTCATGATATTACCACTTTCCAAGTGAATTCACAGCCAGTTTTTTAACGGGGTAAGCTGTGAGCATGTATATTGGCTTTCATGACAAGTATTCCTGTGTGTGGGATCATAGTTTCTCATCATGCAGAACTTCAAATCTCTGACACGTGCAATTATTGTTTTGGGTTTTTATTATTGAAAAAGGCTGTTTGTGTCACCGAAAATGTGTTCGGAATGCTTTTCTGGTTTTTTTGGACAATTGTAAATGCGCACTATCACTTTCAAATAGTTCCTACATCACTGCCCAATTGTTCCTAGTTTTTTATACTAGTGCTACGAACTTGTCACATTTGTTTACTTGACCTATTTCGATTAACTATTGAGTCCAGTGCATTTTCAGAGCTTTCACCTACAAACGTGGGCTCTTATGTTTTCCGTCTTTAAAGTAGCTACGTGCAAGCACGCTTTTGTAATTGTCAGTCGAACATCATCTCAAGGCATCTGATAATTGTTTCACTACATACCAAACAATATAAATGATCCCCTCGTTCCGTCATAGTTCTTGATTCTTTCATTCCTGTTTCAGACGCCGCAATTCATCCAGTAGCCGTCAAACCACCACGAGCGCTAGTCCAACAGGTGGTGAACCCTCTCCCCTCCTCGGAACCTCCCCAACTCGAGGTAGTCAAGATCGCACTTCACACAAAAGTTTCAAATCTCACACGCGAACTACCGAATCCAGTTATTCAACCCTTACTTATGGTGATAAAAAGCGTCCAACCACACGTATCACCATGCCCGCGGTACAGCCAGGCACTCCTGGAGCGGCTGCTATATCCGCATTGGCGGAGACAAAGGCTGCAATGGCAGCCGCTGTGGGAAATCGCTCGTCAAGTGCGCTCACATCAGATCTGTTTAGTCTTACTTCCAAACATGATCCTGACAATTTTCGAGGTCGTATTAACGCAAATAAAAAAGCAACTCCAACAAAAGCTTTGCGAGGTCGTCGCGGACGAGGTCGTCCGCCCAGAACTAGCAGTGGAGTACGACGCGGAGTTCGTGCTCGGTCGTCTAGTTCTTCTGCCTCCGCCCCAAACTCCATCCATAGTCCTGTCTCCTCATCCGATTCCTTATCAGATATAGAAGATGAATTGGGAGATAACCATGCGTCTACAAACAGTGACGACTCTGGAAAAGTGTGGAATCCTCGGGTAAGTCATTTAGCCTATACTGATTTACTGCCCATTCCCATATAACTTCAAATCGTGTTGTGTCACTCATTTGGAATCAGTTATTTACTGAGTCTTAACACCAGTTCCAAGCGAATGCTTCGTTGAATGATCCAATCAGTTTAGTTCTATCTGAATTCCCGATGGAATGATGGGGTGAACATACGAGAGGTTTGTTTGCAATTGCAAAACCTCTAGTGATATAACTGAAAAAAGCTAAACTGCTCATAAATGTGACCATATGTTTTGTGCACCTATACGGCTCCTGTGGCGCAACCATTTTAAGTACAGTCATCAGAGGGTTNGAGGGTTTATCTCAAATTACGTTCACCTTGACCTGAGTGATGATCGAACAGGACCATATGTACAGCAATGCCCGCCCATTTGATTTATTCGGCTCAGGCAATTAGTAAGGATGAATTTTTCCTTCGTTCTTTACTGATAGAGATTATCTGAAGAGGTCAGTGGCCGTGTTGGATTTATTGCACGATCGATTGCCTTCCGACTTTATCTTCTGCTCTTTGTGACCGTAATAAGACCTCTGTCTTCGAGGATCAACTTTGCCCAAGAAAGTACACGTCGCTAAAATACTTCCTTTTTCTCTCCAAGTTTTTTGCTATTGTTTATTGTTACACACGCGTCTGAGTCCGAACGGTGTGCCCAACAAACCACGGAGTAGTGTCTGGTAATTCATTCTAGCATCTTGCAAATGGTTTTGTTGGGCGTTCCTTGCTGTTAAAACCGATCGGAAGCAGTGATGATTGATCATGTTTTCATTTATGACTTTTGAGTGGGTTTGCATTAAAGTTGATCCCCTTATTTTAATTTGTTTAGCAAAAAAATTCCACCCAATGGAAAACTGCGCATGCCCCTAATAAATCGACACGTGGCAGATCGAAGGGACGGGGACGAGGCAAATTAGGTATGTATTCATTTCTCCTTTTCGAGGTTCTTTTTCATCAAAGCCAATTTCTAATTTGATGCTCGATTCGTTTTTTTTAAATTTACCATAATTTTCCTGCATTTCCGCATTCCTATTTGGTCGTGGAATTCTGTTTTTCTCTTTTTCAGTCAGTTGGGCTTGAAAAATAGCTTCAGAGAATGGTAAAAATGGTCACTTTATTTAGAAGTAATAAATGTGCACTGAAAACAAACAAGTCCATTGATTTTCAGTTTCAGTTTATACAACCGCATATGTTTCACTCCTGTGCTTTTGCTTCTGTTTTCGGTTGTCGCTTTAATGGACCACTGAAAAAAGAATACTGTATTGTATTTCACACTTCTGAGTCAAGACTCTGCTTAATGAATAACAGCGTAGCACTCTTCTTATTTAGGAAATCATTTCGTGTTAAGGTTCTGAATGGAATACTGCCAAGTCACCTTGGCTAAAGCAGGTAAATTTTCTAGGCGAATACACAACCGTAGCCTCAGACTGGCGGTAACCCGACAATCAAAGCAACAGGATGTAAAAACCCCTATCCATTTTGGGCTGGTGTTCAGTACCTCAGATCGTTCGCCATCTAGTCGGGACTAAATCAAATTGGTGACCACTACCAAAACCGGAAACGTTTGGGTCTACGTCTCTTGGTTGGTTTTGAATCACTGCTTCCTGCAAACCCCAACTGGTTATTGACTCGGTTGTTACCTTTTTATCACGACACTATTGGTCAAACCCTATATGAATACAGTGATTAGCCTATTCTCAATAGTGGCCGTTTAGAACGCTTAGTTTCGTGGGAGCATTTCACGAGCTACAAAGGAAGGCTCAACAGTCGCAACCCAAGACCATGACCAAAGTGGGTCTTTCGGAGGGGAAGAAAAGACTAACTAAAAGTTGTGCACGGAGAGGAGTACCAATACATAATTCGGGTGAACTAAATGTGTAAAGAAATTGAGTAGATTAGTAAGCGTCATTACGTACGGCGTGACGTCTCATCTGATCTACTGTCATCAGCGCTGAGTGGATTGGTATATCCACCACGACTTACATAACTAAGTCATACCTTCACACCGAATCACAATCTGACCGCTCATAACTCCATCCCACCCAGTGTGCACTTGCGAAAACGTCCCATGACGATGATCGTCGAGTGTTAGTCAGTAGCCTAGATACCTCGGCCAGGTAAACGTAAAATGAGGTTTCCATCCACCAGGAGGAATAGTTTTATTTATATGTAGCAAATTTAGGCCCAAGTCAGAGTAAGTGATAATGGGATCGACGTAATTCGGTAATAACATTTTACATTTCTAAGGAGCGGAACCCACTATTTGCTTTTCGTTTATTGCAATTTCCTAATTTCATTTATCAGGCAACGACTCCGGACCTACCCGCATTACCAATTCGACGCTCAGCTCAGACGGCGAAGAGACATCGGAGCTTTGGTCCGAACTCTCCGGTCAAAAATCTAAGCGTGATGGAGTGAGTCCACTTTCATTTCGATTGGATATCCTTTGTTTATATGATATTCCGGTAATTCATCTTATTGAAAATAGTTTTTCTGCCTCGGAGTTCGCAAACATTATCGATCAACATGCCCCTCCTTGTTTCAGAGTCCGGTTCGTGGTCGAGGACGGCCCAGTAAAGCAGTGAATCATACTTCACCTGGAATATTGGAACCGGGTAATAAGAAGCGAAATACACCAATGAAACCTGTTCGAACAGATTCTTTCTCTACGAAAGGAAAGAAACCGCGCAAGAGTTCCGCGCAATTAAATGCTCTTGATCGTCGAGACGAAGATGATGAACTAACCGACCGTTGCTGTTCACCTGCCGGAATGGATAGTCCTGAACATTCGAATCGAGTTCAACGTGGTCATCGGCGACATAGCCCGCATGCTGGAGCAAGAAGCCCTTTGGGTACCGAAACGCGTTCGTTCAATCAACACTCCCCAACGCGAAGAGCACCTGGTTTAGCAGCCGTGGTCAAGCCCTCACCATCCAAACGCAGCGAAACTCTATCTGCCTTACAGCGATCCTCGCAATCAAGCAATTGCGATTCCTATTCCTCTCCCTCTAGTTCAGACATTGATGGAGACAATGGCCTTACCTCCAAACGTAAATCCGGTGGCAGAGGCCTTGACGAGGACCAAAAATTTCGTAGTCCAAATCGTGCTAATTCGGGCGGACGGGATACGAAAAATTCGGGCGGAGCCGGTAGCACCATGCTACGGCGACCACCATTCGCACCTCCATTGGGCAATGCAAACAATGCTGGAAGCGGGCAGCTAGCTCCGGATCGGGCTGCTTTGTCTGCTGCAGCTAATCTACTATATTCACATGCAGCACAAAACTTTTCAAATAGCCCCGATCATACCGGTGTAGGAAACGCTTCCACTGCAGCGGTACTCGCTGCCGCGGTCAGTCTGGCTGGATCTAATCATCCTCTAGCCGGTGCTCTCAGTTCCGCGGCCTCCGGACTGCTATCTGCAAATTCAGCGTCGAATACCTCAGGTCATAATAATCTGCCAGGTCATACCGCTGCTGTTTCGGCATTACCCCGGTCCCATCTACCACCAAACAAACGAGCTGCCGCGGCGGCCACTGCTGCTGCTCTTAGCGGAACAGGCACCGGATCAATAATGGAACCGGGGCATGTACTGAGTCAACAGTCGTCTCCTCGCGGTGGTTCCTCAAGTGGTTTAGACGCTCATCCTCAGCTGAGTCCACGCAAACTGGCACACAAAGGTGTTCAGGTAGTGAGTTTGTTCCGACTGTAATCAGATGCTGCCTATGTTGTTTTATCAAACTTTTTGTGTCAATTCTTCGTTTTCAATGTGTGCTATGCTTTCTTGCAAAGAAATCTGTGCATAAATTGAATTTTAGACGATCATTTCATAGGGCAAAATTTCGTGTATAGTGCGTTTAGAATCTCGAAAATCGATCAAAAGAACCTCGGAGTGCACTCAGTTTCCCGTAAAATTGTATACACCACCACCTTACAAACTTATCTGTGCAAGTGGGTTTCAGTGTGTCTCAAGGCATGAGTCTGTGTCCTATACTCAAGTTCAAGCTTTTATCCTGTTGCTAACTGACAAACTGTCTTGAACTGTACAATTGTTCGAACCTTAGGGGATAGATTCAACTGTACGCCTAAGCACTTGATTTTCATTCGATAAAGCATTCAGTTGGTGTACCAATAAAGTGAATCAAACTTCACGTGATAGATTACGTCGTATACAGAGATCCTCCACTGGTCCCATGTAAAACTTCGGTAGGTTCAGAATATGTTCAACCGAGTAGTAACCCTTGGGACCGATGCTGAGAAGAGTGATGTGATTCCGTAACAAGGTGAGTTGTGCTATATTGTCCACAGACAAAATGAAACTATCTTATCAGCTGCTCTGGTATCAAGATCGTGATATGCCTGTGTTCTACCTTAGAGGTCTCGCATTCGATCATCTTTTTAGTCGCATTACTGAAGTCGAAATTGTTGTACAGTGCTTTCCAGGTTTCCAGTTCACATTTGCTCTGTATACAATTAAATCGAAACAAATCCTTCATTACCCTCACAAATTGATCTTTTTATTGCACGTCTTTTCATACTATGTCTATCCCCTCTTCTCTGTTTTCCGTTGACTAGACTCCTGTGTGTATGGAAACCAATCCGCCCTGTACAGAATGTAAGCAGCGTGAATCCGACCGCCTTGCTGAAGTTGCGGAACATAAACGGGCGTTACGGGAACTTGAAGAGCGATTGACCGCACAGTTTAAGGAGGAGAAGACTGTGGCGATTGAGCAGGCTCATGCCAATATGCACGAGGCAATCGAACGGGAGCAGAAACTAGCTCATGAAGCTCTTGAAGCTGCAGAGGCTCGATTTGCCGAAGTGCTTGTGCAAACCAAGCGACGACAGTGGTGTCGTAATTGTCTGTCCGAAGCAATTTATCACTGCTGTTGGAACACGTCATACTGTAGTATTCAGTGTCAACAAGAGCATTGGCAAAAGGAGCACAAACGTCAATGCCGCCGGAAGCGATGAACTTTGGACATATATTGTGTTATAACATTGGCAACTTGTACAGTCATTCTTTACTTCCTCTCACCCGCTCCTATTTCTAATTTTTCGTCTTCGCTTATAATACACGCATCTATACATATTCATGTCAACTTTTCTGTGTGTATTTCTGTACTATTCATTCATTTCCAGTCCGTCGACACAATCCCTCCTGGTACGTAGTCATTCTTCAATTTTCTCTGGGGTTCCCTAAGTAATTCCAGCGTTACGACCAGATTTTGTGCCATACTTTGTTGTCTGTTTCATTGTCTGAACACATCACTTTACACCTGGGGCAGCGTTTGTCATGATTCGAGAACTGGCTGCTTCTTTTCTACACGTTTCTGTCTATCTTACATTAATCATCTCCCACACGTTGCGCATCCTTTATGTGACCGTTTACATGAGGTGTGCGCATTAAAGCAGCTAAAGAGTGTACACACTGACACATTTTCCCATCTATCTGCCTTTTCAAAATATGCATCTCGTTCCGTCGACAATCTGGTGAGACCGGTCGATGTGAATAAACCGCAAATTTGTCCCAATGCCTTCTGTTTCCCTTCACTTCTTTACTTGACGTGAACTCTTGTGTTCATTAGAGTTCAATCTACCCTCTACTCCGCTGTACTATAAACCCCGTGTACTATGAGAACTTCCCGTGCACTTCATTCATATTATTCCCCACCCCGTCATAGGGACTTACCCATATTACCGTTGTACATAACACTAAACATGAGTTTTCAATAGACTTCTCCCGGTTTCCCTTTTTCTTATTTCACTTGCTGTCTTGACATTGTCTCTGACATGGTTCACCCCTCAATTCACGTCATTCACAGATCCACATTTATCTGTGCAAAGATTGGGGTTATCGGTTAAATATCTCTAAGTGGGCATTATCTCTTGACCAATGGACGTTGGTTCTCCCTTACCGTGTGCGTTCGGCGTCTCTGCATTGACCATTATCTATTTGCCTATCTATCTAAATATATACATATATATATATGCACATTCAAAATAACAGGAGTTGTCACTTGCGAAACAGGTGTTTCTAATTGATCAAGTAAATCGTGTGCATACACGTGTTTCATGCTTGTTTGATTGAGGGGAATGACTGTTATTCCGTCACTAACTGTCGATCTGTCAAATTGAGCAATACGGTACTATGCCAGTGTCACCTAATTATGTGACATTCACGTGATACTTTATGTTTCAGCATGCTAATCACCGATTCTGACCAGCCCGTGACTATCTTGAATCGGTCAGATCTCGAGGGCACCATGTCCACCAGTGCTTTGCGACAACCGCACAAACTATTACTCGAGGACACCTTCGATATTGCTCCAACTGGACTGAAGTTCTGTTTCGACAGGGAATGCTTCCTCAACGTAAGAAGCGTGATTCACGTTAAACCTATCCTAACCTGTCGTTCCGTTTCCCAGTCGAATTCGTCTGTCATTAATGATCATGCGGCATATTCTGTTGAGCAGTTGAATAACTTTCCTAGTGCATGCTATGTTATACTGTGCGTAATAATACATGAATTGTTAACTTGCCTTCATTTGGGCCTGTTCCCCAAGTGTTCACTTTCGATATCTTTCAAACAACTAAGGTTGAACGCGACGAAGAATCTGAAGTTCAGATATGTAATGTAAGTGAACCTGAAGTCTCTGACGAAATAAATGGCGTACTGCACGAAGCGATAACAGACCTGTCATCTGTGACTTCCACTCTTTTTGTCTATCGTTCTAACATAAAAACCGGTTTCTCTCTTGAACTGATTTCTCCACAATCGAACAAAAGTCCTGTTTGAGTGAGTTACTGGGGGATGATAAAGGTTTTCCTGGCTGGGGTCTTACAATTTGTCCCCCCAGGAACTCTTCACCATTTACCAGCGATCTGTTGCTGCTCAAACGAGAATGAACGCACGCTGCAGTAATTCACCTCGATCGGTCTGGTAAGAAAGCAAGTCAACATGCTCAGGTATGACTGTTGATATGAATCGTTGCATGGACGCATTCAAACCTTAACAACCTGGTGAATAAATCCTTTTGCGGTGTAGGTTCCCTGGACTTGCACTGCTTCTTCGGATCAAAAATTGATTAGCGGTACAAGTTTAGCATTCAAAGGTATAGTTATCAGGATGTTTGGCAATAGGTCTCGGATACCAAAGAACAGTTAGCAATATTTCATGTGAATAACATAACTGAGTGTGATTGTTCAAAAGGTGTAGTGTGTCTCATTGGTATCGTGTTTCAATTGGTTGGCATTCGGATCAGAGCTGAAGCTAGTACTGCGAGGTAATTACGATGACTATTAGTTCATGTCATTGTGACCGTCTGAAGGATGTGTTGATCCTGATCGCATTTAATCAACTTTAACTTTTTCTAGTCCCACGTTACTGGTCAAGTTTTGTGGATTAGGGACATCAGTAAGAAGGAGAAAATAGTTAATCAATAGCCTAGCTAGAAAATTATTTACTCGTGTTTGGTCCACAGTTCATGCGCTCGCTTTTCGATCAAGAAACGGAGTCATCTTACAATTTTTGCTTTATGCGATTAATAATCAAGCATTTTCGTGTGGGGTTTTTGATTGGTGTCTTTTGGATTAAGATGTAGGGTAAGGATTAGAATGCTGGAAACAGTATCAATGTGGTTGTTTTCAAGCAGGAAATGTCATCGACTCATCTCTCCGGAGGATGCCTGTTCGAATCTCCCCACTACCGCCTGACTTACCCTCATTTTCTGTGTTGTATGGTGCCCCTGTGGTCGACCACTTCTCCCTTCTTAAAAATGGTATTATTGTATATTCAATGAAGGGAAGAAGTAAAACTGACAAAAAGGTGTGAACATGAAGAAATCAGATTGACCAAGGTGGCATGGATATTGAGCATATGCATGAACGCTACCGTTTACGACACCCAGTGTATCTAATCATCAGTTGCATTGATACAGAAGTTCCCAACCGGAAGCGTGACGCGATCTATGACCAAGTGCCCTTGTGAGAGTTTTCATTACCCTGGTGTCCGTTTGATCTGCCCCCCATTAATTGCCTCGCGAAAGACCGCAAGTCGTGGAAGCCTATTATGTGGCATGTTTGATACATGCCCCGTCCGTCTTAGTCTGTAGAATTTCAACATTTGTCTCAGCAAGCTACCGCAATGGTACGGTAAATCCCGCAACTGTTCTCTCCAACCGACAAATGGATCACATTATTATCATTTGCCTTCAGCTGGTATTCCTTTGAAGATTGCTGTTCTTACCGGTCAAACGAGCCAGCTGCTTTCTCTACCTGGTGGATAGCTTTACCAAAGCCACATGGAACGGGTGTACACAGTGCCATATAAGTGACAGCTGTGAATTGGTCTCCGAAGTTAAACTCTCTAATCGCCCCCCATTGAAAAATTCGATTGGGATTAGAAACTAGTCATAAAAACAAATCGGTTAAACTCCGGCTCATCAATAGTCTGAAGAATGACCGCGAGAAGTTGTAGGTAGCAAACTATACCGATTGAGGGGGATTCGGTTATTGATGGTAGTTGCTCTTCCATCTAATCAGGACTATGTGTCCACAAAACTAGGGCCTCCGTCGATATAAGTTTTGCCAACATCTATCGATTGATACCATTCCTTTCAAATCGGAGGTCACACGGGAAATAAGTTACTTTATGAAGTAGTAGTCCTATATCGGCTTTTTCGGCGGAGGTTTAGTTTTGGTGCTTACGAATTTTCTGTGTTCATTATAGAACAGTGAACAAGTGCCCGCTGAATGGTGTGAACTCGCCAAATAAAGTGTTCTGAGTCGCGACAACGTTAGGAAGAAGATCAAAGTGGTCAAAATAACATTCGGTGTGCGTGCATGAAAACCGTGACCAGGGGACTTGGTCATACAAGTTGAGTTATGCCCCCTGTTTGGGGACCACCGGATAAGCTTAATCAGTGGCTAGAGACAATGAGTGATATGATCGAGTGTCGTCAGCTGAAACGCTCGTGCATCTATTCTGTGTCTTATCAAATTTATTTCAATTGCTTTGTTTTCCTACATTGATAATACCCTCAGGATCATGATTTTCAGCTGAACTCCGTCAACTGAATAAGTAGTGCAAGGACTTCTCAGGATTCGCAGGCGTGTGTACGAAATTGCTATTTTTCTCCTTACCACAGTCTGCCTAGGCCGAAATTTTGCGTTTCCCCGATAATGTGCAAATTGACACGAAATTACGAGTGATTTCTACATTCATAGTCTAGTTGTAACACCAAACACTAGCAGTTCCGTAAGCTTTCGTGTACAGTTGTAGACTCAGTTACCTTTGGTATTTAGCGGTGGATTCCCTGAACTATTCAGAATGACACCGATTGTAGTGGTGTCACCAGATCTGCTGAAATTATGAGGCTTTTATGCGGTATCTTTCCTCGAAACTAGAATCGTATAACTTTTTACATGAGCTGTCTATCCCTTCAAAGAATTCGAGACTTGACTCAGGTTAATCCAAGCCGGTAATTTTCTTCTACTATACTATCCTAAGAAAAATAATGTTGCCCAACGTGATTACTTCTGATGCGCTGTCAATCAATACTCCCAATAGTCGTTTTCGCATGATCTAATTTGAACGGCTGGTTTTCACTCGATTCAAGTTCGATCGGACGTCCAATGCCACTATTGGTTACGCAATAATAGAGGCTCAATGCAGAATGTGATATTAAGGAATTTGTACAGACAAACAACACTTGGTTTCTACATTGTACCTAAAAGCCATTATGGATCAAACACCAGTCAACCACTAATCCAGAAATAACCTAGATATATGTACCAAACGAAAACCGGTCTTTCTTTTCGAATCTGGTGCAGTATTCAAACCGTTCCGGAGCATGATGCATTCTCTGATCTGATTGATTTATTCCGTGACTGAAATGTCCTGTTTACGGTTATTGGGTATTTGGGATGCACTCGATTCGGGGCCAACGCAAAAACAAGTAACGGAACGAAGGGGTTGGGGTGGATACAAAACAGGGTGAGCTGAAGATCAGTGATAATGGATAACAAGAATCACAACTCTCGCCATTCCTTTGATGAGATGGAAACAACCTGTGATCGGTTCATTAGGCTCAGCAACGATTATATTTGCTAAATGACTGTGGTAACGTTCTCGCTGTTATTGCGTGAGGAAAAACAATCAGTCTGAGAATATCCGCCATTGTGGTACAGTTCGCTCTACATCTTCCAGTCACTGTATTGATGCTGGTGCTACCACTTCTGTGCCCCTTCACTAAATGTGATTGTTGTGTTGATCAGTGATTTGTGTACCGCCTCTCTGCTGTATAACAAGAATGATTATTTCTCTCTCTCAGACACATGCGAGTAAAATGACTCATCACTCGTTTAATATATGCCTCTCCAAACTCTCATACGAATCTTTCAAAAGCCTTGCCTATCCTCGTCTCAATTTTCATATCAACCCGAAAAGAACGTAACTGTTGAGGCTCAGGGATTACGTAGATAAGAATTCCTGTATTAGGTTGGCCTCAGTACCCTTGATTAAATTTGACTACATGTATTTGTTCATTGCAATTCATGCATTAGTTTAAAACTGCCATCCATCTCTAGGCTTGTTTGTTTGTTTGTTTGTTTGTGCTATTTCAACTCGATCGATTGACTTTTCATAACCCTCGAATTCAGGACAATTTCCTGTCGGATGAGTTCATTCTCAGCCAGGATGCACGTGGCACATCACTGGAACAAATGCGTGACAGCCTGTTACAATATTCAAACATTCTCAAATCCAGCCTGGTGGAATTGATCAATCAGGACTATGCGGATTTTGTGAACCTATCCACAAATTTGGTCGGTTTAGACAAGGCCATTGATGTGATTGCGACCCCGTTAAACGACCTGGAATCCTCGGTACAGGTAGGTCCGTGTAGGTGGACAATTTTTTCTCGTAAGTGTGCGTGCATGTGTCGTTAATCTAACTAGTACTCATTCAGTGGAACCAATGTTTTTATCTGATAATTTGTCTATGAGGTGCATGTTGATAGAGTGGCTAGTATATTTTTCGGAGCAGTAGAATATTTTGAGAGGTAATTACTTACTTTTATACGGGAGGATACACTTGCTTCGGATTGCGGTAGTCCAATGACGACGATCGGATGCGTAGCCAGAGCAGATGGTAATTCACTTTTCTCACCATCGGCATGATCTGTAGACTCCTTGAAGTTCCAGTTGTTCAACGTCCGTTTTGATAATGCCAATCCATGCTTTTAATTGATCTGCTGTACGACAGCGCTGGGCTGAGCATGGCGTTGAGGCAAGCCAGACGTTAGAGAGTGTAAGAAGCATTTATTGATTGGTATATATTATATTTCACACACGTCTGAGCCCAAACCATATGCCAAACATATCTCAGCACGGTAGTCTCTTTATAACTAAGAGAAAGTTCCACGAATGGTCTGTGGGCGGTATCCTGCCAGATTGCCCAGGTCAAGGCAGATAGGGACTTCAAATCAGAGCATTCAGTTAACCAATGCCTGATCCGCAAAGCAGCGGGATGGTGTGTGAGATCCGTAATTCATTAGGGGCCGGTATCTCGTTTATCGGATCATAGGCCATTTGGACAGGGTCACACGTCCAATGTTCCTAATACACCTCGATGCCCAATTGAGCCGGTAACCACTGCCACAACCAGGAAGGTGTTTTTGTGTGTGATTTATACGTCTCCTATTGGTTGGTTTGGAATCAGGGCTTTCGGCTAACTCCCCTAGATGAACCGTCAATGGCTCACCGAACCGGGTATTGGCTTTGCATTCTCTCACTTTGGTGGGAGAACCTCCACCACAAGAGGGTAGTGAGTAGGACTTCCTCAGCAGAGGCTATTTGATACGCTTGGTTCAATAGGAGCAT